GGCGGGGCCTAGGCCGAGTGGGGGCGGGGCGCTCCGGCTCTGCTTCCGGTTTTGCTTAGTTTCTAAGGGCGGTGGGAGCCCCTGACGCATCCGCAGCCTCTGTGCCCTGGTTTCGGTCTGACTGTGCTTAGGGGGTTCCTCTGGCGGCCCGATGCGCGGAGGGAGACCTGACGGGACACGGGAGCGGCTGGATAGGGGGCTGGGTGGGGGGCATCTCCCAGCACGTGGTCATCGCTGAGAGGGACCCCGAGGCCCCCCTCCACTCGAGCACTTTGATCACAGGGCTTCCTCGTCGCGGGACCCACGGGGCCCAGCGCAGGTGTGGCCCCGGTGGTCCCCCAAATTGTAGTCACACACCCGTGTGAGAGTTTAAGCACCGGGGCAGAGGGGCGGGGCCCTGGTATTTCTTGTCCCCGTTAAGGTAAAATGAACCAAGCTGCCCCACCTGATTTCAGCTGGAGCAACCTGTGGGGGGTGGGAGGTGGGGGGAGGGGCACCCCACATGGTTAATCCCGGGGCTTCAGGCCTGCGGGGCTGGCGTTTCCATGGGCCCCGGTCTGAGCGGCTGGCTCCGCGTGTGTGCTGTGTTGCTCTTAGCTCAATCTCTGCCCCTACATCGGGGTTGGCCTTTTCCTCCGTGGCCTAGAGGCTGGGTGTGCGGGATCAGAAAGCCAGAGAATGGCCCTGGCCGGTGTGGCTCAGTGGATAGAGCGTCGGCCTGCGGACTGAAGGGTCCCGGGTTCGATTCCCTGTCAAGGGCACATGCCCGGGTTGCAGGCTCGACCACACAGTAGGTGCTCAATAAATTGTGTTTCCTGAGACCAGGTATGTTTGGTCTGGTTTTTGAAGCGCTCTGCAAACAAGACATACCCATCTAAGCCCTCACTCACGCCCCATCGGGGCTGAAGGGCACGTACCAGTGAGTTTGGGCACAGGTGACTTTTTTAAAAATTATTATTTTCCTTCCTCTCTGAAATCAACAAAAGTATATTAAAAAAATAAATAAAGCCAGAGCATGCATCTCAGCCACTGCCACCCCCTCTGTGAACCAGGCTCGCTCACAGCCTCAGGGCGGTTGTAGATCCGAATCCACCAGGGCCCCTGTCCTGTGTCCTGTGATGAGGGCCTGGAGTGGGCGTCCTCCGGCCTCAGGGAAAGGCACCCACTGGGTGCACACAGCAGGCACTATGGGTCCCCCAGCTTCCAGAACCTCCGCCCACACCGCTGCCCACGCTCTGGCTGAGGAACCTGTCTGTGTCCCTCTGTCCAACGTGAATCAGGGAGAGCCCGGGGTCCACATTGTGACCCCTCCTGGTTGGGGGTGAGGGGAGTGCTGGGGTCCCCCTGTTAGAAGCTGGGGCTGGAAGCTTTTTTCAGGGGGCTGGGAGTGAGGGTGAGAAAAGCCAGTTTGGGTAACTCCATGCCAAAGCGGGGCAAGGGTCTCCCTGTGGGGAAGCTGAACCCACACTCTAAGTTCAGGGGCCTGTGCCTCCAGTATGTGGCTGTGGGGTCCGGAGGCGAGGGGGTGGGCACTGAGTGAGCAGGGCCCAGGCCAGGGAGGGGCCTTGCAGCCGCCAGTGGGCACCAGAGCCTGGCGGTGCCAGTCTGGCTCCATGAGGCCTGGGGGTTCCCAGACCTGAGCTCCAGGACACGGGGGCTGCACGGACACAGGACGTGTAGAAGCAGCCAGAGCACAATGCATCATGTCATGGTGGGCGTGGTGCTCCATGCCTTCGCATCCCGGCACCCTGCCTGTTTCACTCTTAGAGCAACGTCGCACGTTTAGGGATTGGGGACTCTGAAAATCCAACTTCTTAGGCCTGTGACACAGCACAGGACCAGGACCGGAGGGAGCCCAGCTGGCCCTTAAGACGTAAAATGCGGAATTGGCATGAGATACACCAGCAAATTCAGTTCAATAAACATTTCCGGCGCACCTACTATGTGCTACACCCCCCCCCATTCCTGCCCACCTACTACGTGCTCCATCCCTGACCCATTCCTGCGCACCTACTACGTGCTCCATCCCTGACCCATTCCTGCGCACCTACTACGTGCTCCATCCCTGACCCATTCCTGTGCACCTACTACGTGCTCCATCCCTGACCCACTTCTGCCATTGGGGGGGCTCCCTGCCAAGGTTTGGTTTCTGTTCCTTCAGAAACTGTCCGTGGCCCTTCTGGGTGGAAGCTTCCTGTTTACACCTGGATGAAAACCACATCTTGCTAACACCATGTCTTCACCAGATACCAGCCAGTCCAGTCAAGTGGTCAGCCTCTTGGAGGCCTCCTGGTGTGGGGGCTCGGCCACGGGCCGGCAGGTTTGGAGTCAGAGGATTCCTGGGGGCCCCAAGGCAAGGCACACGCAGCCGAGCAGCCGGCCAGGGCTCGTGGAGCCGCTAACTGCTAGGGTCACCCATTTGCCTCCAAGCTTTAGACGGGAACAAGCTGTACGTCTTGTAGACACACACAGGCTAAAGGAGCAGGGTCTTCCGAGACAGGTGGCTCTGATGGCATCGGCACCTGAGCTGGGGGCGCCAGGCCATCGCCCACTCTTCCTCCCCGGTCTGTCCCCTGGTGCCGCGTGGGGCCCTCCCTGAACACGCCGAGCCTCTGGCTGGTGGGGTCCGGGGAGAGGGCCCTGAACATGTGTGCGGACCCTCAGCGGGTTCTGCGCTCCTGCTCCTCCCAGAATCCACTGCTGGCCCGAACCAGGGCCTGAGCCGTGAGCTGAGTGGTTTGGAATCAGCGGAGGATCTACCTCATGTTCACGAATTCTTAGACGTGGGGTGGGATCTAGGTCTGATTCTGCCACTGATGTACCGTGTGCCTTTGGGTAACTCCCTTCCGCTCTCTGGGCTTCAGTCCCTCTCTCTGTGAAACGGGAAGGAGGGCCCGGCCGACGTGGCTCAGTGGTTGAGCATCAACCTGTGAACCAGGAGGTCAAGGTTTGATTCCTGGTCAGGGCACAGGCCGGGTTTGCTGGCTCCATCCCCAGGGTGGGGCGTGCAGGAGGCAGGCGATCCATGATGCTCATCATTGATGTTTCTATCTCTCTCCCTCTCCCTTTCTCTCTGAAATTAATTTAAAAAATATCTATGATAATAAAAGTGTAATATGCTAATTAGACCAGACAGCTGAAGGACCTTACAGACGAAGCCAGGGCTGCGAGGGCCGAGCCCCTTGCACGGATTTCGTGCACCAGGCGGAGGGGTGGGCAAACTTTTTGACTCGAGGGCCACAATGGGTTCTTAAACTGGACCGGAGGGCTGGAACAAAAGCATGGATGGAGTGTTTGTGTGAACTAATATAAATTCAAAGTAAACATCATTACATAAAAGGGTACGGTCTTTTTTTTTTTTTTAGTTTTATTCATTTCAAACGGGCCGGATCCAGCCCGAGGGCCGTAGTTTGCCCACGGCTGACCAGGCCTCTGGTCTATATATAAAGAAATGGGAAGGAGGGCCGTGCGTGTCTGAGGTTCCTTTCAGCGTTTACATTTTGTGTTAGGCCTTTATTCCCTGTCCAGGTGGATGTAATTCAGACCCAACTGAGATGGATCTAGATCCATCCAATATGCGGCACGAGCGTGCGTCCATACGTGTTATTTAATTGTATTCACAAACCCCCCAGAATGCTGGGTGTGGAGACCCCCATTTTGTGGATTACAAACGGAGGCTCAGAGAGGTGGAGTGTGTTCCCTGAGGTCACACAGCCAGGAAGTTGCAGAGCTGACCAGCAGTCCCAGGCCTGCTTCTGGCTCCCTAGGGGCTGAGCCCCACAGGAGGTCAGCCTCCTCCGCCCTCTCTCCCTGCCTCCCAGGGAGCTCAGCTCGGGCTCTGAGCAGGGGCTGAGGGCGAGGTGGGTTCCACTGCCGGCCACTGGTGGCACCCAGAGGTGGGGGGCTTTGGCGGGCAAGGGGTGGCCACATTCTGGAAGGCTCGGCAGGCTGGGGGAGGGGCAGGTCATGGAGAGCCGAGAGCAGCGTCTCTGGCGGGGCCTGGGTGTGGCCCTCCCCCTTGGGCCTCTAGACCCTGTGCCTTTTCAGCTCAGGCTGCCTGTGCTGCGCTGCGCTCTGCACTGGCATCAGGGAGCCCCTAGCGGCCCCAATCCCCGGAAACCCCCTTCAAATATTCCTGTCCATTCCCCAGCCCCTGCCCCCCCAGACTGAGGGCAGGGCTGGGAGAGGCAGCTTCAAGCAGAGGCTTT